AAAACAATATCGTTTTGTTTTTCATTCATTGGGAAATACAAAAACCTTGATTATAATGAATATCATATACCACCCAATGCCCAAATTTTTTCAAACTGTTAAAAGTGAACTTGGTTTGGGGACAAATATATATAATGGAAGCTTCGAATTTCACCGAAAAATGAAATGCTAATGTTTTTTTATTTTTTCCAAATAGTTTAAGTAAGTAATGCCAACAGAAATCTCACTGAATTCAAGTTATTTTATGCGCCATATAACTAACTGATATTCTTTTAAAAAGAAGATATAAATATTATTCATGCATCTTAGTGTTACTGATAGTATACAAATTGTCAATGTACAATTCTTACAAGGTATAATTCTTTCACTACTCCACATTTTAATATATATATATATATATGTATATATCCGTAAAATAAAAGTAAAAGTAAGGAATGTTTATCGACTTTTTTTCTGTAGTTAAAGGTTGGAAATTTAGTAACGCCATTAACAACCACACATATGTGTCACACTGTTTTCTTGACAATTGAACAAAACGAAGTGGAAACCAGAAGAAAAAATAATGAAGAAAGAATTGGTATATATATTCAGTAGAAAGCAAGCGTAGGTGTCCTTCCTGTCAAGAAACGGAAAAAGAATACCATATTTGGATTAAAGCCAAAGAAAGAGGACCATATGAGTATTTCATCACGTGGTTTTTTATACGCAGATTATTGTCAGTACTTGCTGATTAACAGAAAAGAAGAAGACAAAAAGTGATCTGAAGTAGAAAATGTCTTAGATTCATTAGTATTCATTTATTTCCATACATTTATTCCCCTTAATGAATTTGAACAAAGCAACAACTACAGTTTTAGAAGGATAAAATGGTACCATCTTTTATTTCGTTGCCTTCTCGTCAGCTGCTTACACGGCAAAGACATTATTAAATGTATCTACAAAAACAATTTTAACGTACTTGCACAGAGTTCATTTTAAACAAAAATCAATCGATCAATATATGCATACAGTAATGATATATACATATATATATGCAATATTAAACACTATTCCGAACAATAATAATCATACACAATGAAAACTTTTCAGCATCTCGCATTCAGATGAAAAATATCTAGTTACTCAGGCAAAGAAAGACTGATAACCGCTTCTTTCTGAACGTACAAATCAGGCTTTAGGCATTTGATGGAAATGGCTGCAGCAAACTTAAGGAGAATTGAGCTCTTTTGCTTACTGATAATTTTGAACGACTTTTCGACGTCCACCTCATGACCCGTGTCAAGAAGTTGCCTGGGGATGGCACTGTTTAAAGCATTTGTTCCCCTGAGACATAAGCTTTTTGTTACATGTTCAGAAAATCGTAGATATGCCCTTCTTCATTCTGTTCTTCCAATGTAACTGCTCCCGCAGATACATGTAAATTTGTATATACAGTTGGAGTTAACATGAGAAGGATATCCATCGATTTTTGACTGCACCAAAGAGCAAGTTGTTCGAAAGACGGGAACGAGCTTAGCTGCAGGATAAGCTATGGCTAATGATGTGTTCAGCATTCTGTTGATCATCGCTGCAATTTTTTCGCCTTTATAATCAAGCTCAAAGTAGATTGGCTTTTTTTCCTACTGTGATTTGTTTTTCATTTGTGACTTCAGATCTTCCATACTTGTTGATGAACCTTTGAGGATACCCATGTCTCTTCAATGTCTTTTCAAGAAACTCAAATTCTCCCTCTAGTTTCTCTGCAGAGCATATTCTACTCGCTCTATAGTACAGACTCTTGACCAGTGCTTGTTTATAGCTATTTGGACAAAAGCTATTAAAATGTAAGTATTGTGGACTTTCGATAAATTGATTTTCGAAGACTACCGTCTTCTAGGCGTTCCACGGAGACGTCGAGGAAGTGGAACTTTCATTTAAGTATTCATTTACTTAAAAGAATTAAAAATGTAGACGGCTTTTTGGAGGATACTTATATATGGATTATGATAAGTTAAAGATGATTATGTGCCAGTATTACGGTAAGCTATGAATTTACAATATACAATTACTCTTATAAACACATAAATAAATAAATATTGTACATTTCCTGATAAAATAGAATTCGCAAAATGATTAAGTTAAAGAATTTCATCATGAGCTGATATCAGTTAGAGAACTACTGGGAAACAAACAGGGAGTACTGGACAGTTGTTTCGTTAGCCTAGTTTGGAACTGGCTCTTCAGCAGTACGTACCCACCACAGGAGGTTCGAACGCATCACCTTTTGATTACAAGACGAGCTCGTGGACCATTAAGTCACTGGGACCTGGTCCAATGGTCAGGTCATGAATTCCACCTTCTGCCGATTCACGATATGGCACGATCACTAGCCAATATCACCGTCGGCGAGTATCTGTCCCTACACTCTGCCTGCTGTACCCCACAGGTCATGACTTCCAATAGTTCTCTAACCGATGTCAGCTCACGATGAAATCCTGTAACCAATCAAATGAAATACCTGCAAACCAACATTTGAACACTTTAAGTGTTGTTCCAAGTATTGTGTACCATAATTCCATACTATTTTTAAAAAAATGTATCATAGAGTAAAGTAGAACTACTCACAGAAGCCATCTGAAAGCGATAGCAGAGAAGCTAGTGTAATGGAGATGTGCCACTGGAACTTAATATTCCATTCAGAACATTTTTGTAAAAAAATCTTAAGTATTTCACTTTGAACACGGAGAGCCAACTAATGCTTCCTCCTATATAGCCTGTCAAACTATCGAGAGTCACGCACAGTTAAAAGCTACATATTCTAACAGAATCAAAGACACACACACGGATGTGATAGAATCTGTGGCACTATTCAGCAATACGGAATTACCTTAACTGTGTCATCTGGCAGCTATACAGTTCAAAAGTTTTTCAGACACAAAATACATACTCTGCGACAAATTAATCCCACTAGCACAACTTTAAATTACCTGAGAATTAGTACGAATATTCAAGTGTTGGTTTGTAGGGATTTGATTGGTTACAGGATTTTCATCATCAGCTAACATTAGTTAGAGAACCATTGGAAAACCAACTGGGAGTACTGGACAGCTGTTTCGTCAGTCCTAGTGTGGGACTCTTCAACAGTACGCACCCGCCGGGATTCGAAACCAGGACCTTCTGGTTACAAGGCGAGCTCGTATACCATTAAGCCATTGGGACCCGATCCAATGGCCAGTGCATGAATTCCAACTTCTGCCAATTCACGACATAGCGCAACCCCCTAGTAAGAATATTCCCAAAATAGGAGATCAAAACCCTCTGTAAGAATCAAGCAGAACAAAACATGTTTTCCACTCCATTACGTAAGCATAACTTCACTCAAAGTCGCACTATTGAAACAACACACTATTATCAACAGCCCACCGTCACACAACAAACAGTAAATTAAACCGTTAAAATTACAGATCAACCAAAAACAAAGACAAATAATAAGGAATGAGCTACAAGAATATATATTCAAATGTTAGAATAATAATATACAAGTCAACGGAAGAGAGTACTGATCACAGAATTAGTTGAAATATTCAAATAATTATGCATGTCATAAATAGACTTGTTCATGTAGGGATTTTTAGATCTATTGTTCTGTTACAGTTTCGAACTGAAATTCTTCTCCATAGTCCCAAACTTGCAGTTAAAAACCTCAGTACTTATAAGTGTAATCATTTCTCTTATTCTACTGCAAAGTTGGGAAAGAATTCAAATATCTGGAATAGATATTATGTTCTTCATGATGCTTATTTTCAGCGTTATCTCAGTAGAAAAAAGTCTAGGTGACCGACTTTTCATTTAGAGAAGTTAGTTTACAAAACAGCATCGTCTTATGGTAGTACAGCTTCCGGCTTCATTCACAGTTACAGTTGGTCTTTTTTCCTAATTTCTATTTTACAGACAAATCTACCATGTCTGACCACTATCAGCAGCTATGAACTGGAAATTGGAATGGTATCAGTAAATTAATTTGTCCAGAATGTTAGTAAATAACTATATTCGCTGAGTCATATTTAAATATTTGGCGATGGACAGAAAGAAACGTATATCGGATATCAGTCGGTGATGAAATCAAAAGCGCTATCTTTAATCAACTAGGGAGTCATCAGCTTTTACTAACCTACTCGTGTTAAAAGCGAGACACATCATTATTCATTTGACTGGACAGCAAAATCTTGAAACGCACTTAAATAGTATGATTCACTATCAAATTTTGTGACTTTTTTTCCCAGTTGGTTCGATTCAGCAGTAGTAGTGTAACGACAGAAGACAACGGCCAGACAACAGATCGTTTATTGAGAAAATCAACGCATATTTAAAGATTTTTATGTACATTATTGTCAGCAGAGAAACAACGTCTTCCGATTGGTTGTTTTCTTGCTGAAGGTTATTCTGTACTGCTTGTGACTATTTCTTAGAAAGTTAAGTCATATATCTGCAAATCGTATTTGCACACGCTAAGTCTGCTGTGATTGGTCGTTAAGTTCATCAAAGTTATGCTTCGTCATTGTTTTATCTCGTAACCGCGATTCGGGACGTAAACATCGACGTAAATCGGTGTCTAGAATTTTGGCTAGCAGACAGCTCTCATCACAGTAGTGGTCAGTCACTACTGAAGGATTCGCATTACAAGTTCATATCTCTAGACGGACGGTTACATTTTTTGAGCAAACAAGTCACAAGTGGATGATTTCAGACGATAATACCAAAGGTTTTGCTCGATGTTAGCAGGGTTATTACTTTAATACATAAAAATGATAGTAATAATAACTACTGCGTAAACTATCATAGGATAAAAGACGTTTCTCTTTTTCAAAGATAATATGCTCAGAAATGACATTAACAGGAATTCTGTGCACTAAGTGTGAATGTTTTTCATGTAAATAGCATATTAAGCACAATTCTAGGTCTAAAATACGTGAATGGTCAACCTCAGTGTAACTGATTTACAAGAAGAAAGAAGATTTTTAAAAAAGTACTTGTTTTTTATTATAAAATACTCAAAACGTACTTTCATGTATTATTATCAATGTATTTATACATAAAGAAATGTAAAAAATAACTCATGTAGGTTTAAGTTGATCGATTGAATAAAGTATACACATTAGTATGTAATAATATTTACTGTTCTTGGAACTGAATTTGCAATGCTGCAATATTATGAAGTCACATCATGAAATTATAGTGGCGTTCAAAAGATACCATTGAATTGTGTCCATAACAGATAATGGGTTGATTATTTCAAAATCTAAAAAGTTATCCAGAGGCCATAAACAATCTCATAGAACAAGATACCAATCAATCAGTAATTCTGTTTCGTTTAATATCAAAATTCAACTTAAGTGAGTTAGCATACGGCGGCAGTATTACACTCTGATCATCGTTAACAACATAAACATCTACAACAATAGGACTACGTCGACATGCAGAAGAGCATACATTACTGCCTGATAAACTTGTCCCACCACCAGAATAACCGACATTCATACCACTACTATAGGCTGGATCGTTAATAGCCATTGCACCAATCCCTGCACGCATATCTGGATCATAAATAAATCCAACATCTGCACTAGTATGAGCTACAGCAGCTTTTGAACTCTGTGTTGGTGAAACTACAACAGATGAACTGCCTGTCTGTGTTCGACGAAAAAAAGAACAGCCAAGAGTATTTTGATTAGTTGAAAATAAACGTGATAAATGCTTTGGTAAACCTCTTTGCCATCTTGGTGGTCTAGGTCGACCATTAGGTTTTGCTATATACAATGGGGGTTCTTTAAAATCTCCAAATGAATTAGGGCACTCATTGAATATAACAGAATTATCCGGGTCGTGTTTAGCTAATTTTCTGGAATGATGACGTGGTAAACCAGTGGCTGGAAATGTTGAAGTAAGTTGTAAAGCTGCATTACAAAATAGGGTTCCCTTCTTCCACATCACTCCATAACCAGCGAAGTCATGACCACAAAGATGTAGTACAGGCCTGAAAGGAAAAGAAACAAGTGATGAGTTACTGTGAGGTACAGTCACAGAAAAATATTTCCATTTATAATGTTCATAATTTAGCTCATCACAACATGAAAAAGATAGGAAGAGGCCAAGAAATATCTATAAAAATACTTAAAAGTTTAACTGCACACGGGTTCGAAATCTCCAAGATTTCCTTTAGGAAATAAGTAAAAAACGTTCTCTTTCAGTTGGATTTTTCTGGGATGATTATAGACCCAAACTAAATTGTATGTTCAAAACACCGTAGTAAAACAAAGTAGTCTTATGAACCTTTATCAGACGTCTTTAAATATTCACTGATTGATATTACATCTTATAAAACCACAATGATTCAAGTGGAACTTTCAGTTGGCAACAGAAAAGTAAGCTGCTCATGCGTTAGTTTGTAGGGATTTAATTTTCTTTCGAATTTAACCACATATAAGTTAGAGAACCACTGAAAACCAGCGGGTACTGGACAGTTGTCTCGTCCTAGTTTGGGACTCATCATCAACGCTTATCCACCGGAGTGATCGTTGGAGTCTCCCTGCTCGAACGATGACATTGGTTGGTGCTAGTAGCGCTAAGACCACGAATCGGTAGAAGTTAGAAGTCATAGACTGGCCAGTGAGCTGGGTTCTAGTGGGTGAATGGTATACGAGGTTACCAAGTAACCCAAACGTCCTGGTTTCGAAACCCAGTGGATGTGTACAGACGATGAGTCCCAAACTAGGACGAAATAGCTGTCCAGTACTCCCTGGTTTTCAATGCTTCTCTAGCTGATATCAATCCGTGGTTAAACTAAGTATAAGTCACGCCTTAATAAGTTTTGTTTAACTGCAACTCGCACATTCAACGAGCGGTTTAAATGAAATAGTAAAAACTCAATCTAAAAATAACCTCATTCAATGATTTTATTCATAATGGCAAAAATAGTTATCTTACAACCAAATAACTCTTAAGTTTAAAGAAATATTTAAAACACGGCTGCATATTTGCTAACCCTTATCTTCTGTCAAGTTATATGATTTAATAAATTTAAATATTGCAGTTCATTTTCCTCCTCAAGAATATGTCCATCGTCATCAATAAGAATAGTTAATCTTTTCCCATAATAAAAGAAGAATGAAAGAACAATAGGCAACATGTAAAACTAAGCTTAGGAAAAAAATAAATAAATACAACTTGTGTATTTCAAAGCGAAAGAAAACTGTGATACACAAATGACTTAATTTAAGACATCTGCAAACTCTAAGCGGAAATAAAATGATCCTACCGGTGGAAAATAAATGCGTCGATAGTCCAATAGTTCGATTCTCGGCGAACGCACTCCTAAATTCGCTTAGCAAGCAGTAAACCTGGAAAAGGGGGAAGGTTGGACGTGAAGCCAGCAATACTGATGTGGCGTGTGCTACAAATGGGTTTATCAGTAGTATATAAACCGACGCTCATAGACATTACAATATCAAATAGGAGGGAAACAGATTTGACATCAGCGAGAGCGAATGATTCAGTGTTGCGAAGAAACATGGGAGACTTGAAAGGAACGCACACAACACGGAGGATCTGTGTCAATGATGATTTGGAGATAAGGTGTACATAATTTCGCTATGTGGCGATACCAAACGGCGAATAAAGATTCCTTTACCAAATTTCTTGCCTTCCACCGTTACACCGCTACTGAGATTTCAAAGCTTAAAGTCCTATGTTCCATTTGGAACTCAAAGAATGAAAAAAAAAGTAAGAAATAAAGAAGAAGTCAGTTACTTCCTGGAGTAGCCTAATTCCAGTCGCTAAAGCTTTTCAAACGAATAAATCAAGCATAAACATCAGCTCAGAGTGAATTACACTGTTAAATAAATTCTTACACTTTATCTAAACTTGTTAAACTCTTAGCGTTTTAGACTTGATATGCAGAGAGAAAAAATCAACACTGAATACGAAATGCAGTACAATTGCATTCTACAATCATGCATCATAGAATACTACACCTCGTTTTTACTGTCATTACCCTATTAAATAACTCTGTTTTTTTTTGTAATGTTAAAAATGCAACGAATAAAATTTCAATTTTTTCAAATAAGTTTTTTTTACTTTGCCAACCAGAGGAATTCTCTCTTTTTGAAAAAAAAGGGAAGGGAACTCGTATGGATATGATACAGTTTATCTAGATTTCTCTTTTATCAGGTATGTCAGATATATTACAAAATCTGACAATATACACATGGGTAGGCTTATAGTGATACTCTATGCGATAATAGATTATACATCAAAGATACCTAAATGTTTCATTTAATTCACACTAGACTGTTATTTTTATTTTTATTAGAAATTTCAAACTGTTAAAATAACCGTACACTTTGAAAAACAATTACTATTTTATTAATACTATTATTATTATTATAGCGAACAATTAGTTGTAACGTTGGTGACTAGACGGCCTGCTTGAATCATTGGGCTATCTGAATTTCAACCCAATAAAATGCACATCAGTTTCACTGCTTCTCTTTGTTTTAACCATTCAATTATATGTCCGTGGGTCACCAAAAAATATACTAGCGCAGATTTTAATTGGCTTTCAGCCTATCACTGAGTATTTCTCGAAGATTGGTTTATGCTACAGACCGAACAACATTGTGTCACGTGATATACTATGGATTACTATTTTGAAAACATTTATTTCCCGATACGAATTTAAAACAAGCAATAAAAGTTAATAAAGCAGGATTTAATGAATTCATCAAATTTCGGTAGAACTCGTCAGCTGAATACTCTACACACATGGATATATATATACTTTTGAAATTACATTGGGAGATATAAGACTGATATGTAAACAAACTACATTGAATTAGTCATGTAGAAAGACAGGTGCGAATGTTTTCCAGGTCATGTTCAAATAGATAAGGGGAGAGAGAGTATGAGAGATCAAAATTAAGACAAATTGCATTACGCTTCAATTACATCACTTAGATAAACAATTAGACATTAGAGAATATAACAAGAATTGCAAACAGAGTAATATCAATAGTAAAAGTTATAATAACAATAATAATAATAGTGTTGAGGTGAATTAAGATAATCCTACTGATAAAGGATAGTTTTAAATGAATCAAGAATAATAATAATAATAAGAGGTAGAATAATAAGTAAAACGTATTACCATGGTAGGTTCAGAGTCACGACCATCTCCTTTTGTACACAGAGACCTGGTTTATAAACTCGAATTTCACAAGCCTCTGCAATTGCAAGCATCTTCTTGTTTCTTTGTCTGCTGACAATAGTGAATGACTTGACGGCGTCAATATCATGTCCGTAATCCACAAGATGTTTTGTTATTGAGGATTTTGGCACTTTGCACTCAGCTGTTTTCAACCATTTTGGCAAATACTCCATCATGCGAGTGGACAATCACCTTTCCGTACGACCTATGTATTTGCTTCTACAAACACACTCAAATTGATATACGCAGTTTGAAGTGTCGAGGATTGGCGACTGGTCTTTCCCAGATTGTTGAAGCACTCGCTTAGTGGTGTTAAGGAAAACAAGTTTTGCAGCATAATAAGTTCTTTTGATAGCTTTATCGAGTCTTCGTTAGACTACTTCCTGTATATCATCTCCTTTCAATGGCAAATTGATATAGATAGATTTCTTCGGAACTGTTTGGATAGTTCTGCATGGGCTAATTTCTTTAGAGTATTTATTAATGAACTTCTCAGGATACTCATTCTTGGATAAAATATCCTTCAAAGATTGTATCTCATGCTCAACAGTACTTAGTTTGTGATGATATTAGGTGGTTGGAGGCAATCGGCAGGAAGCCTTGGACCTAGGTTTCGTGCTAGTTGGCACTCGTCAGCAAGGCGTATCTGCAACCTTGAAGGAACTCATGTCCCTTCTGAGATTCGAACCCGCGTCACCCAGTGCTGCAGTCAGAGACGTTACCACTGAGCTATTCGGGCTCGCGATTGACCTCCTGTAGGACTGTAGTGGATATATTTTTGATTTGACACTAGTAACTAGTGTGATGCGTCTAGTCCTCTCTTTGGTGCAGACTGAATTCTATCAGTCAGGTTGTAATGTGGCCACCATTCTAGGTAGCTCGCCATCACGGTGTACACAGTTTGTGGTGATATTAGGTGGTTGGAGGCAATCGGCAGGAAGCCTTGGACCTAGGTTTCGTGCTAGTTGGCACTCGTCAGCAAGGCGTATCTGCAACCTTGAAGGAACTCATGTCCCTTCTGAGATTCGAACCCGCGTCACCCAGTGCTGCAGTCAGAGACGTTACCACTGAGCTATTCGGGCTCGCGATTGACCTCCTGTAGGACTGTAATGGATATTTTGATTTGACACTAGTAACTAGTGTGATGCGTCTAGTCCTCTCTTTGGTGCAGACTGAATTCTATCAGTCAGGTTGTAATGTGGCCACCATTCTAGGTAGCTCGCCATCACGGTGTACATAGTTTGTGATGATATTAGGTGGTTGGAGGCAATCGGCAGGAAGCCTTGGACCTAGGTTTCGTGCTAGTTGGCACTCGTCAGCAAGGCGTATCTGCAACCTTGAAGGAACTCATGTCCCTTCTGAGATTCGAACCCGCGTCACCCAGTGCTGCAGTCAGAGACGTTACCACTGAGCTATTCGGGCTCGCGATTGACCTCCTGTAGGACTGTAGTGGATATTTTGATTTGACACTAGTAACTAGTGTGATGCGTCTAGTCCTCTCTTTGGTGCAGACTGAATTCTATCAGTCAGGTTGTAATGTGGCCACCATTCTAGGTAGCTCGCCATCACGGTGTACATAGTTTGTGATGATATTAGGTGGTTGGAGGCAATCGGCAGGAAGCCTTGGACCTAGGTTTCGTGCTAGTTGGCACTCGTCAGCAAGGTGTATCTGCAACCTTGAAGGAACTCATGTCCCTTCTGAGATTCGAACCCGCGTCACCCAGTGCTGCAGTCAGAGACGTTACCACTGAGCTATTCGGGCTCGCGATTGA